GATCATTAAATATTTTGTGCTTTGTTTCATTAAAACCTCAAACAGAAAAATCAAGTGCGATGTTGATAAGAGTCATCCTTGCAGGAACTGCGAGAAAAGCGGAGTACAATGCACGTTAGTGGGTCGTGCCATGCGTCCTCCACGGAATATTTCAGGCTCGACATCGGCAGCAGCAGCAGCAGCAGTGGCTGTAGCCATGGCCACAGCAGCAGCGGCAAATGCACAGGCTGGAAACGGATCAACTTTGAGTGGACTGGGTGAAAATAACAAGACAAGCAACGGTGCCATTAATGGCTCAATACAAAATTCAGACGAACAGACTAATGAAACTAGTTTAATCGCCAAGACACCAAGCTTACTTGCTAGAAGAGCCAGCGCTTCAGGACAGCTCATGCGAGTAGACGAAAGTATTTCAAATAGTGTTGATAATGCCAACACTGAAAATTTCAAAAAGCGAAGTTTGTTAAGCTCGTCATCCTCTCCTACTTCTCTGAGGGCCTTGTTCAATGCAGGGGCAAGAGTCATTCGAACAAGTACATCGTCATCCTCCTCGTTGGAGCCAGTAATCCAGCCTACGGCGCTTCACAATAGCTCGATCGAAGTTACTTTGAGCAACCAAGGAGCCTCTACTCAAGATGGGTTCACAGGAGGCACAACAATGGGTGCAGGCTACGAATACTTTGATCATCCTACTACTTTTTCTGAGCCATCAAGCAGCTCTTCCACACCTTCTGTACTTACTAACAACATTATGCAGCTCGCTTATACTGTGGACCCGGTATCCAGCACGGCTTCTCATCTTATATCGCCTCTCTCACCCCCTTTGGGTCAAGAGCAGTCGTCTTTGTCAACAACCGCAATGCATCTTGTCCAAGAGAGTGTACCAGAGAGCATCATGACTGGCATCACGAATACGGGTCCAGGAAGTTTCGCACCGGGATATTCTCTGTCATTATCGCACTCTCGTCATAATCCTCCCCGACGGGCTTCAAGCTCATCATTTTTACCTTTAAACCACACAACGGATGGCGACAACAAAACTCAACAGCACGACCGACGGACCTCAGCACCATGGGCAATATATGGACACTCCCACCCTTTGCAACACGATAGTCGACATTCTTCTCAAAGTCAGTCCGGTTCTAGTACCCCTCAAAACCAACAGTACGGAGCCCTTCACCCTCTTAAGAAGACCTATGCTACAACAGATGATATTCATCCCTATCCCACACAGTCCTCTTTGATGCGATCTAACAGTACCCCAGCAGCACTTCGTTCACCGCTCAAGCCACACAACCGAAATCGACACAGTGCTTTACCTTCGAGAAGATCTCAAATGGGCCCAAGACCGTCAATGGATCTGTATGCTTCCACCGACAAGGTTATACAGGACCTCTCGCTTCCACAGCAACGCTATCGTCATTCAGCACTTCCTCAACGCCACAGCAGCAATATGAGCCATCTACAGTTCCAGCTTCATATTCAACAACTTCAACAACAACAACAACAGCAGCAACAGCAGCAACAGCAGCAACAGCAACAGCAACAGCAGCAACAGCAACAGCAGCAACAGCGGCAACAGCGACAGCAACAACAGCAACATCACCATGGGCAACGAAGTCAATCTTTGCCTCGATTTCAGCCTGAGCAGAGCGATCGTGCGAATTCACACCGTCAATCCCAACCGAATATACTTCATTGGCAAGGGCATGGTATGCATCAGCAAATCCGAACAGAACCAAACCTGAATTTCGGTTTGGGAGTTAGCGTACCTCACTCTGAGCTTGATACAATACCCAAAAATTTACCGGCTAATCGCTCTAGCTATTTAACTTCAGATATCGCATCAGCAACATCTACAGATATTCTATCGCCTACTGGTTTGCATACCCCTACACCTGTTACGACTGATTACCGGACGTTTGCTGGACATTTGAACTCAACAGTGGATCCGAACCTCGCAGACGACTTGAATCCAAGTCCATCAATGGGCAATGTAGTTCAACAGGATTTGGTGATTCCATCAAGTGCACATACACAACCCCCTGAGGACCACGCCCCTAGTTTTCAGTTCGCTCCAGGATATGTATGGAAGCCAGAAAGGGACAGTACTCGACTGGCGTATGGTCATACCCGCCATTTGAGTGCCTCACAGGTCTATCCTCAGCAGCCTATACAATTTTCATCTCCATCTCAGCAAAGAGCGAATTTGACTCGGTCATTACAAGACTTGAATCACCACACGGTGGCTTTATTTGACCAGCAGCAACAAGTACAGGATCACACGCTCTTTTTGTCGGACGAGCACCCTATGAATCAATCTCCAAGAAACGACCAAAATATGTCTCAAGACAGCTATGGTGCATCTCTGTCCATGGTCTTGGATAATAACTTTGATAACTTGCGGCTTTTAGACGAAATGGACCTGGTGCCAGATTTGCACAAATACGATAATATAGCTCAACAGGTGCTAGTAGATTCTTCCAGACAAAGTGACGAAAACGTTGTGCATGTGAATGGGGCCTCGAATCAACCAGACCAGTCGCTCGCCGCGTCGCCGATAGCGGCCAGTATGAATCAGCATCCGCAACGCTCTGTTTTGGGATCAATCACTGCAGCGGCAGCAGCTAGCCAAAGCTCATTGCTTATGCATGGCAATACCCTTGGATCAAACCCAGAAGTAATTCATTTGCAGGGAGACCCTTATATGAATACACTCTCATTTTTGGATTTATCTAGTCAATTTGTGGTATCGGCACCAGCTGCTGCGTCTTTGTCTTCAACGGCAATGTCTTCTTCCTTACCGAATACGAGTTTTCTCGATACTCAAGGCGAACGACTATATCATGGGTTTGTACCGAACTTTCAGCAGCAGCATGCCACTCATCCACATATCCTACATAGCTCTCTCTTTCATACTCAACAGCAACAGCAACAGCAACAGCAACAGCAACAGCAACAGCAACAGCAACAGCAACAACAGCAGCAACAGCATCAACAGCATCAACAGCATCAACAGCAGTCCGTACAACAACATATCGTCCGCGACCCTCATCAATTTCATCATCATATCCACTAACATTTTTATCCTACGTCTCGTATTTAGAATCAAGCAAATATCCATCATACCAAATTGATTTTTTTTTTTTTCTTCTTCAAATACACATAACCTAAACTTGTAAAATTTATAAAGAAACTGGTGTTCCTTTTCCGTGGCGAGTTTATTACTGCTGACAGCCCCATTACTCGGCTCTTTTTTTGCCACGACATGGGAATTTGATGGTGCTCTCCAGAGGCACAAAGTTCGTGCTCTCAAAGAGTGCCTTTGTTCAATGTTATTTGACTTTTGTCACTTCCTTACCCCTTCATTTGCTTCTCCTTCTGCTTACCATTCTTCTGTATTTTGACAGCTTTTCCTCTTCCCATTTTTTTTTTATTTTTTTTTATTTTCTATTTTCTGCACTCTCAAAAGCCATGGATTATTCCTTATTTAGCACCATATGGGTTGTTATTCTCCTCGTCTGTCTTTTCGTCCTTGTGGTTCTCGTTATCGCCTGTTGCTGGTATGGCATACGTCGTCGCAAGGCTAGCGAGCACTCCAAGATCATTGGTGTTCATATTACACCCGGGGAGGTGGTTAGCCCATTGACAACAGGTCCGCATATACAAGCTCAGAATCAAGGCATGATACCAATGTATAGAGCGGCCCCAGGTTCGCCTCAAGACGTACTCAATGAAGAGCTTGTGCTTGTCCCAAGAAGTTTGTTAAGTCAGCATAATGTGCAGATAGTATCAAGGCAACATCTCTATGCACACCTAGAAGCATCGCAGGCTGGTAACTCACTCCCTGCAATGTCTCAACAGTCGTCGGATATGGAGGCCATTCGTGAATCGTCGGGCGTGTATTTGGAGCGCCCTCAACAGCAGCTGCTTCCAGAGCCACAGCAGCATTTAACATCGCCACCACTGCCATTATCGCAGCAGCTACCTCAAAAACAAGAGATATATATGTCTAAAGAACAAGGCCCTGATCAAGGTGCTAAATTTGACCAAGGAGAATCAAGCACAAAAATCAATCATTGTTAGCAAATATGCATGTATAATAATTAGTCCTTAATAAAATTCTTTACAAAATCAGACAATTTTTTCTTACAACGGCCGAGCCGCCACAAGCCGAAACCTGCACTGACATTGCTTTTTTTTATAACCATTTTCAACATTTACATTGAATCATCAGATTGGTGATTCTTATTTCATTCTTTTATGGCATCGAACGACGACCATGATTCAGGTGCAGGTTCAGGCTCCGCATCCACCTGGAGTGCCAGCCTGAAAGGCCTACGATCGATTTTTCCAGGGTATGGTTCAAAGTCTGACGAAGATAACACCGTCATTGATCCGGATCCGAGCAGTCATCAGGTTACAGATTATCAGGAAGGGGAACGACGAGATATTAACAACGGCAAAGTCATCAAGCTTGAGGAATCGCGACAGCAAAAGCAGACTGAACCCGAGCCTGAAGCTGAAAGAGAGAGAGCGCCAGAGACAACAACAGCATTGCCACAACGTGAAGAACCAGCAGTCATGACGACAGACCAAGGCCAACCAGTCAATGATACCCCAAATACGAAAGATCACCCAATCGTTACCACGCCTAATACAGCCAATATGACAACAATACCACCACCATCGCTATCACCGCCATCTCTCCCGCCATCCAAGGTGGAGCGAGTTTCCAGCAAAGTTATGACGTCAATATCGAGCACTACCTCGAAACGCAAAAGGAACTTGGTTCTGCCGGACTATTACGAACAATTCTCTGATGCCCAACCCAGTCTCTTATTGACAGTCCCTGTGGGATCAACAGATTTAGCCTTAGTTGGGCAGGAAGGGAAGCGAGGAGTCACATCCAGCACAAATACAACATTTTCAGGGCGAATTTATTCCTCAATGAAAAGTCTATTTTCCTCAATGGGATCCATGCTTTTCCGCACAGGAGCCACGGACCCTTCCGTACCTAAGAATACCATCCCTCAGCGTGGAACACAGGGGATCCGAAAGGTTGTTATTATCGGAGTCCATGGCTGGTTTCCTCGGAAGGCACTGTGGACCGTCATTGGAGAGCCTACAGGAACAAGTCAAAAGTTTTGTGAGGAGATGGACCTCGCCCTTAAGGAATATCTTGAAAAACACGGAAAACACTTGGACTCTGACGACGTGACATTGATCCCATTGGAGGGCGAGGGCAAGGTTTTGGACCGTGTTGAGATCTTGCACAAAAAGTTTATCAACCACCAGAAATGGAGACACGCTGTTCATGAGGCGGATCTTGTCTTGGTTGCAACACACTCTCAAGGGACTCCCACCAGTATCTTGCTGATAGCCAAGTGGATTAAAGAGGGGATTTTAAGAGTGCAAGAAGACGATCCAAGGATTCAGAGGATTGGCATCTTGGCCATGGCAGGGATCTCCCATGGCCCATTCCCTTTTTTGAAAGGAAACTTAATTGTTCGCTGGTTTGAACGGGAGGCTGCAGGAGAGCTTTTCGAGTTTATGGATTCAGAGAGCTCAATTGCCAAGAAGTATCGGGAAGGGCTAAGGATTGTTCTGACATCTGGTGTCCGCTTAACTTGTGTAGCATCATTAGA